GGTTTAACACAATATTCTCCCTGTGAGCGTGTAGATTCGTAACGAAGGTTTCAAACGTTTAGTTTACCTTGATGAATCTATTGGTAATTTTGATGCGATTAAAAGAAAAGTAACGACTAATGTACTTATAGACGACCATGTTCATATCACTCGATGAGCAGTGATGCTTTCATGACCAGCTAATGGTTCATGTGTGTGTGTATATTGTCTCCTTGATAAATGATTTGTATTAAGCAGACGCCGGGCGCTGCGTCGTGGGCTTGTGAGGGTGGGGGAGGGGCATACAAACAGCTGCTTGCTCTTTCTCTCGCTCGTGTCCGCTGCTGGATGACGAGTCGGCACGACACTCGCCATCGGCGGTGCGCGATGATTCCGTCGTCAGATAGCGCGCATAGCTCGTCCGCTGCTGGATGTCTTAGTTCCCAGCTGGTGCCGGATGGTGTGTGTGGTCGAACACACGGCGTTCTCGCTGGCGCTGACACCCTTGCTCACAGGCGGCTGGAGCTGTGATGCTGGCTTGGTCGAGATTTGGCGCTTTCCGCCCTTTCTCGAGGAGGATTGCTGGAATTCTCGTCAGTTCAACTCGAACTACAGTGGCTCGCGGGAGTGGGCACTCAGGGCAGAATGGCTTTCGAGCGATACTTCAGTCAGCGCTGAATTCGCACTGGATAGCACATCGCTACTCAACGAGCCTCACCATCCTGGTTGATTGCTGGCCCTTCTTCTGTTGCTGGAGTCTTCTTCTGCTGGCAAGCTTCTTCTCTCTCAAGACTTCTGTGTTGGTGGTGTGTGTGGTCGAACCCACGGTGCTCTCGCTGGCGCTGCTTGTGTGCTGGCACTCAATCTCAAAATTTGTGAATTGTATTCGCACATCTCTTAAACAACTGTGAAAGCTTAGTACAATACAACTTGTCGCAATCCTTGACTTTGCGAGCGACTCAACACATCAGGATAAATGTAGAATAAAACTTTCAGCGATACTCTGTCGGCTAATGCCGAACTCAGCTCTTAACAACACATCGGCCCTTCTCTCTGCGAGACACGACACCCATGGTTGATGTTGGGGCCTGCTCCCTCGCAAGCCTCCCTCGCAAGCCTCCATAGCAAGAATACTGCCCCTGCTCCCTCGCGAGACTGAGTCCGCACGATCTGTGTTCGTGCTTAAAAATGTATAATTCCCTCCCCTCTTTCTTTCTCTTCTCACAAAGGACCCGAATATCCTTTGATGTCGCTTCGCTGTGGGGGGGGTGGGGGGGTTGGACGTGTGTCCGTGTGTGTGTGTGTTCTGATTCATTAAGCCATCTGTTAAGTCTCCATCCCCAAGTCATCTTTTCATCCGTGTGTAATGCGAGCGTATGCTGGGTTTCGCCACCCCAGCCCCTAAGCCAACCAGGCGCCACGCGGAGCCCACGGGCGTTAGGGGGTGGTATTATCTGGAAAGTTCTTAAGGGGTGTGGCGAAGGGTGGAGTCTGGGTGACGTGGGAAGAGGATATAAGTGGAAGGGGCTCGGGGTCAGTTGGTGGAAGCTGGAAGCTGGGCCACATCAAGGGTCTCCGCGAGCCATCGGCCACGTGGCGACGCGGAGACGGCTCCCAGCGCGCCGTCTGCCAGCGGTGCACGGGAGCGGGGAAGCGAGAGAGCGGCACGTGAGCGGGACGTCAGTTCCCGCGATGTGCCGCAGAATGACCGGGAGAGCGGAACGTGAGCTATCCAAATAACGAAAAAATAAAGAGACGGAGACACAGTCGCTTGTCGTCGACCTGCTTTATTATAATTGGGGTCAGAAGTGATTCTTGACATATCCAAGCATCTCAGGAAAAAAATTGCATCGTTGGGCGCAGATGGCCGCTTGGACGGGTGACCCTGCCATGGACGGCAACCCTACGGGACCGGCGACCTCGCGGCCGCTGCGGGCCACTGGATTCCGAGGAAGGGGACCGTGGCGCGTTCGGGCGCTTCGTCGGCGCCGCTCCGGGACGTCGGGGGGGCCGACCGGCGAGCCGGAATGGCGTGCTTTCGATGTGGCCGGCTGGGCCACTTCGCGCGGGACTGCGGCCGGCAACGGTCCTGGCTCATGCCACTACCGTGTTTATGGTCCACGATGAGGATTGGCAGCAAGGGTTGGCGGCGGCGGTTGAGCCTCGGGGAACGGCCGACGATCGCTGGATCGCCGAGTTGTGTCCTTGGACCACGCAGCAAAGGAGCGCGCTTCGGGCGCTTTTGTCCAATTACTCCGATGTTTTTAGCAAAAGCGATTTCGACCTGGGGCGCACTTCACTGTTGTCCCATCACATTGATACTGGGGGGGCGAGCCCTATACGGATGAATCCACACCGGCTGAGTCCCTCAGAGAGGGACCATGTGCGCGGCGCGGTGGATGACATGCTAGCCGCTGACATCATCTCCCCGTCGAATAGCCCATGGGGTGCTCCCATTGTCCTTGTAAAGAAAAAGGATGGCAGCCTCTGCGTTGATTTCCGAAAGCTTAATAAGGTTTCGGTGGCGGACGCGTACACTCTGCCGCAAATGGATGACTCCCTTGATGCCTTGTCGGGAGCGCAATACTTTTCTACTCTCGATCTCTCCTCTGGGTTTTGGCAACTTCCCCTCGACGAGTTGTTGAGGGAAAAGACAGCGTTTCGTACGCCTCAGGGGCCGTTCCAATTTAACTGTCTTCCCATGGGACTGAACGCCGCTCCCGCCACGTTCCAGCGGTTGATGAAGCTGGTGTTGACCGGGTTACAATGGGACGCGTGCCTGATATACTTAGACGATGTCATTGTGTTCAGTCGTACGTTTGAGGAACACCTTCGGAGATTGAGGGCTGTTTTCGGCCGGATGCGTTCCGTGATTCTCAAATTCAAACCTAAAAAGTGCCACCTCTTGCAACGCTCCGTGCACTATTTGGGACATATTGTCAGCTCGGACGGTGTAGCCACGGACCCGGACAAGACGTTGTGCGTCCGGGACTGGCCGACCCACACCTCAGTGGGGGAGGTACGTCGGTTTGTCGGGTTTGCGTCCTACTACCGTCGATTCGTACCTAATTTCGCCACTATCGCGAGACCGCTGCACCTCCTCACGGCGAAAAATCAGAGGTTCAAGTGGGGACCGGAGGAGAAGGCGTTCCGTGACCTTCGCGATCGATTGGCGACCGCGCCGACACTTGATTACCCCGATTTCTCATTGCCCTTTATTCTGGACACGGACGCCAGTGATACGGGTATTGGCGCCGTCCTGTCCCAGTGTAAAAATGGCGTCGAGCACGTGGTGGCGAATGGGAGCCGCGTTCTCTCGTCGGCGGAAACCCGCTATTGTGTAACCCGTCGGGAATTATTGGCGATTGTTCATTTCGTTTGCCAATATCGGCCGTACTTATAGGGCAAGAAATTCCTGGTGCGCACGGACCATGCCGCCTAGCAATATTCCTTGAAAATCGAACAGCCTTCTGGCCAGCTGTCGCGGTGGTTGGAGACGCTGCAGAAATTCTCGTTTGACATACAGTACCTACAAAGGTTCTCGTCATGGTAACGCGGACGCCCTCTCCCGCTTACCGCAGGGATCCTCTTACGCGTGCACCTCGGGCACTAATCGGTGCACGCGCCCCCCTCAGCCCCTTCGGCCAGTCATGTCCGCGATGGCGGATCCCACGGACCCGACCTGTCCGGAGTTTGACAAACGTAATCATTGAGGGTTAAATGTACGGATCAATGAGGAGAACATCTCCAGGAGTACTGTGTTGAAATATACATACACCTCCATAATTAGTGTACATTATGTGCACAATTACATAAATTAACATAAATTCGGATAATTACACATTTTTCCATTTTCATTTCTTTCTATTTTTAATACCCGACAAATACAACATACCTACCCACACTAACCAACCCACTCACTCACCCACCCACCTAATCATGCACTCAGCCACTCACTCACTCACCCACCCTCCCACCCACCCAATCACCTACTCACTCAATTACCGACTCACAGACACTCACCCGTCCACTCACTCACCTGCCCACTCACCAACCCAGACACCCACTCACCAAAAGTACAAAAAACAACCCAGAGCCCTGGCATATTGACGATATCATAGGCCTTGATCAGGTCAATAAAGTAGAGATGTAGGTCCTTTTGGAATTTCCTGCTGTAGCAGACGTACAAAGGCTATGGCGTCTGTGCAGGACTGCCCTGGCCTGAAAACCCCATTGGGGCTCCGCAAGCCTCTCCTCAGCATGCTTGGCAAGACAATGTTGAATAATCCTTGCCAGGACCTTTCCCAGCTCACTGAGGAGGATGCCCTGTAGTTAGTCTGTGCGGTTCACCTTCAAGATGGGGACCACCAGGACATCCTTCTATTCTTGTAAAACTCGTCCAGTAGTTCGGACAGTTGTGATGATGTCGTATAAAAGTCCACACAGACGTTACCCTCCCTCTGCATTTCACTTGGGAGATCGTCTCTGACCAGCACTTTTCCTGTTCTCAGACTCTGGATCACCTATGAAACTTTCTCAACAGATAACACAATACCGCAGCCTCAGCAGGGTCATCCCCACCTCACCTCTCCCAAGACCTGACAGAAATGCTCAGCACATTAGCAAACCTGTTCCAGCAGGTGAGAGATCGGATCACCGTTCTTTACCCGAAGGATAGTAATAGGTGTGGTTCTGCAGGTAAAGTTTTTTTTAACGTAATTAATGAGTGAATTGTGATCACGGGATACTTTGGCAGATTCCATCTCTTCAGCAACCCGGTACCACCACTCATCCTTGCAGCACCGCACAGCTCTCCAAACCTCCGAGCGAAGGCTGCGGTAAGCCTCATTTCCCAGCGTGGGATGCAACTTAGCACCAACACCATCAAATGGCCAAAAATACCTGGATATTGATGTGCTATTGATGCCGTTTCTAAAACCAGTTGCTTATCTCTGCAACACAACATATGAAGAATTGACGAATGTGTTGAGCCTTTTGAAAACATCGTAACCACAAATAGGAATTGTCACTTGCTCTTTATTCGTAACAATACATTTTTTAACTGCACAGTTCGAGTTGGTTTTACTTTACATTTTTCAAAAATAACTATTGTGCACTCGCAACGACAAAAAGCTATTGTGCACTAGCAAAAACAAAGCCAGCTGCTCGATTTCATTTTCAGAACAAGTCCCTGTTCTAAGCACTGATCGAATAAAGTAAATGGTCCCACGGTCTATGTACAAAATAAAATGATAGTCTTTGTGGCAACTGTTCCACCGAAAAAGGTGTGGCTATAGAAATCGAGGGGGGGGGGTAGATAAGAGAGGAGAGGGCCTAATGATAGAAAGGGAGGGCGATATGAAAAGGCCCTCAAGAAGCATCGGCTGGCGCTTGTGTTAGAACCACACAATATAAACTGTTAAACTGTATTCAAGTATTTTCAAATATTAAATAATTTATGTTTACCAGTCAAACGTGCCAGTTTTGTATTCATGGTCCTTTGTTCAAATACATTTACAGATTGATATCCGTATACACTCTGCACCAACAGCACGCTGGCATTGCAGCAATCGCCTGCTTTCGCGTGTGCTCTCTACACCACGATGAACAAGCAGCAGGGCGCTGTGCAAATGCTCACTGGGACCCGCGTGCCTATTGGTAGGAATAGGAATAAACTGCTCAGAAAAATACCTGATCAGCACAGAGGGCTGACCTCCAAATCAAACGGCCGACACTTGCTTCTCAGTACAAATACCAAACGAAGCAAAGGAACGTGAGCATTGCTTTTCTCTGTGGCCTGGGAATTATTGTTGTTATGATTATTGTTATATCGTAGATATTGTATCCAGTAATTTAGGATTTATGGAATAATTCATGTGTTATCTTTAAAATATCTATGACTTTTTTGAAACCTTGAACACATCCTATTTTAAGGCTGTCTATGTTTCCAACATAAGAACATTGTAACAATTTCAAGATATACAATTATTCTAAAGATGTAAACCTGCGTGTATTTTGTACACACCAAAATGAAAACTCCCGAAACGCCAAAACATAAAAAACACCTTGTTCTATTTTTGCTCTTTGTATCAAGTAGGAAGTAGCTGTATGTTGATACACTGACCTAAGCCCACTCCAGCGGTTTTCTTCTGGTGGTGGAAAATGCTTACAATAAATAAAATAAATAAAAAGGGAATATTTTGTTATGCTCATCTGCATTGTGGATGTGCAAAATATAACAAGGTCATATTACTCGTTATGTTTGGGTTTGGCCACAAACATCTGGCCAAATTTCTGCTGCTAGAGCCTCCACCACCCGACATAGCCAAACGAATTAAATTATATAAAGCGTTTACGTGTTTAACAATAAGCCAATTCTTCACGTTTCAGTTCGCCAGTGGAAACAATTCTTACAATTGCACCATATCAAATCATTTGCTGCAAAAACCTACAGGCCAAGGTATTTTAAATTTTTAATTCCATTGCCTTGATTAAAATTGAAATTTTATTCGGGTGTGCATTAGCTCTGCACTCAACTGGTAACATTTACGATCTCAGTGAATTCCCACTCCTAATTCGCCAATTTAATTTCTGGTCTACGAAGGAGGTGACTTAAGCAACAACCGGTGACGCTGTCGAGGTGTCGTTGGCATCTTTGTCGTCGTTGTGAATCGGCGAGAGGGCGGCATGGCACCAGCTAGAGCACGGACTCACGGCTGGGCTCCACGATATCGCCATTGCCTGGCATGAGTGGCCGGTCTTCGTGCCACGTCTTCCCATTGGGCACTGGCTCGCACTTCACCTCCTGCAGCTCCTCTTCTCTGCCACGTTTCTTCTGGTCGCGTTGGCTCAGCACGTGCAGGATCCCCGCCCCGATCGCGTCGCCCTCCACGTTAATCACGGTGCACGTCCGGTCCCTGGCACAACCAACAATGGCCTCGTTAGTGTGAACCCCCTCGCAATGGAGGATATGTTACCAGGGAGAAAACGTACCATTTTTATTTATAAACTCAATGCAATAAAACAACAAATCATTATCACCAGACTTGCTCAATACACTTCTGGGTAAAGGTCTCCCCAAGCCATCTCGCACAGTTTTGCGATGTAACAATCTGTCCGGCACCTGCAAACGAGCCAATCTCATCCCTCTGGACGTCCTCTCGAGCGTGTTCACTCAGTGGGCTGCCATTCCATCGTTAGTCTCAACCACTGGCCAAAACCCTTTCTAGTGCTGTGGATTTACCCAAGACCATTTACTTTTATCAAGCTTTTTCCATTCCGATGACATAAGGGTATGTCATCAGTTTTTCAATTCCGTTCTTGAATCAGAAGGCGATGCGGGAGGGTGTGTGGCACAGTTTGGTGCCAGCTATCATAGAGTGTGTTCGTGTGGCTACAGTTCTCTGCGGCGAGTACAGTACGTCTCTAAAAACTACGGCATTATGCCTCAAAATAAAATGTACGCAAACTACTTGCGCGTTCCGAGATTCAGCAGTGAACGGGACCCACCCTGCAACTTGCAGACGTCTCGGAACAGGAAAGGGTTAATCAGACAATGATGTCACTAACAGGACATAATTAACATTCAAAATATAAATTCAGAAGTCTAATTGTTTTCGTGCACATTCTTATGACCCAGAAGGTGATACTCATTTTATTGAGCTCAAAGGGATGAAACGCTGAGTCGACTTCCAACCAGGATTTGAATTCTCAACCTCTGGATTGCGAGCCACTCGCTTGAGGGCTGAGCCACCTCGCTGGATAGATGCAACACAGAGATGTACTGTGACCACAATAGGCAAATAACAACGTCTAGATTTATAGCATGTTTAACCTTTCAGGGCGTCCTAAATTCGAGTGACAACCAGTTTGAATTGTCTATGCCAGCGGTTGCCAGCCTGTGCTCCATGGAACTGTTGCAGACACAACTTATGTCATCAAACATCACAATTTGGATGGGTGGGTGGGTTGGTAATTGAGCGAGTGGTTGAGTTGGTTAGTGAGCGAGTTTGTGAGTGAGTGGATTGGTTAGTTGGTGAGTGGGTGGGTGGGTGTACTGGTGTGTTAGTGGTAGAGCCCAACCGATGCCAGATTATCGGGTCCAATGCTGATACTGATTTTGGAGTACTAGTTCACCGACTGCCGATATAGACCGATATCGTAAAAAAATGCTACATTTTCTAATACATTTTTTAATCTTCTACTTTATTAACTTTAAATATTTGAGAACATTGAACTGAAATTATACTATGAACAAGCAAACAAAAAAAAACACACATCAATACGTTTTTTAATGGATTCAACATAAAACTAATAGTAAAAAATACTTTCAAATTTAACGTCAGCTATTTTGGCCAAGTCTGGCAGTGCTCGCACATCAGAGTTCATGTCTCTAGTCATGCCACTCGAGCAGTTGCAGATTGTAGTGAAGATAACAGCACCTTTGCATTCTCACCACTGCATGTTGAAGTGCACATTAATCAACACCTTTTTTTGTAGCAAAATTGAAGAGGCCACGTGCAGAGACTGATGGCGGAGAGAAGAGTCGGTGAGGTAATGATGGGTCATGCACTGCAAGCATCGTACGACCCCGAATATGCTAGCGACTTAAGTGCACGCCTCAGCTGCGCCACCTCACGCTTGTAGTATCAGAGCTCCCTCTACCAGATCATTTAACAAATAGCAATACCAACTGCCAAACGTAACATTTACAGGTACAAGAATCGATTTATTTTTGGTTCATTATATATGTAATCGTGGCACATCAGACTGTCGACCGATACCTCGGTTAAGCCAATAACATCGGTTAAATCTATGTATCAGTCGGGCTCTAATTCGTGGGCGAGTGGGGACTATGATAGGTCAGACACCACAGGCACAGGTGTGGGGAATGCAAGTGCACTGGAGAACTCACACGAGCCAGTCGACTGCCAGGATGAGGGAAATGTCGTTGGTGGGCAGGCTCACTGCTTCCAAAATGATGGCCAGTGTAAGTACGCCACCTGCCGGAATCCCAGCAGCTCCCACACTCGACGCCGTTGCTGTAACGCTGTCAGTAAGACACACAGCACAGCTTGTGTTAACACAGGGGACGGGGGGGGGGGGGGGGGGCAACACCACGCCTGGCCGCCTTTATCTCCCCAGTGGAGATGTTTACACGTCACACCAGGTACTCATTTAAGGCGGAGTCGACCTAGGGGAAACCCATGACCAGTGCAGATAATTGTTACTGGTGTTTGCCATTAGCAGGAATCTAACTCGGGTCGCTGGGTTCGTAGCGCAGGGTGCTAACCGCTACACTACCACTCCCTACACTCCAACACAAACAGCTGTCAAAATTCAGGCATTGGCTCCATATTGCATTCGCCGCTTGTTGCAGGAGATGAGTGGTTCAAATCCGGCAGGCCGTCCTGGTTAATACTGAAGTGCATGTTGCGAGTTACTCTGGCAGCAACATCACGAGGAAGAGATGGTGTAATAAGAACAGCTCATATGCGGGAGAAAGATGGATAATGGATTCTAGATTTGAAGCTTTCGTGACTGCAAGGATTCATACTCTTAGTTCTTTCGGTAAAGTCACGTAGGTAAAAAATGAAAGTAATATTATTTTTTATTTTATTTTTATTAATTTTAATTTCATTTTTTACGTACGTCACTTTACCGAATGAACTAAGAATATGGATAATGACATCGTAGGGCTAAAGGATGACAATGGCATGAGGAGGTCTTCATGCAATAGTGGTTAAATAATGGTTGACAATGATGGCACACAATCCAAAGCATTATTTTGTTGGGTGGAGTTAAAACTTAATTAAACCGGTTTTACTTTATCGAGACCATAAACCCACGTACAGGTTCCTGCGAGTGACTCTGGGTCATTGTCCCCCCCGCTGATGGCACAGCATCGTGATGAGTGGAGGCATTCAACTGTTCAATGCGTCAGCACCACGGACTACTCCTCACCACTGTACAGGCAACAGGCGACTCACAGGATGGTGAAGATCTGTCCGGCGTCCAGCGTCACGTTGTTCATGTACGCGATGAAGACGGCCGCCACGCACTGGAAGAGGGCTGCTCCGTCCATGTTCACCGTGGCGCCAATCGGGAGGATGAAGCGGCTGATCTTCTTGTCCACGCCATTGTTCTCCTCGATGCATTTGATCATCAGCGGCAACGTTGCCGAGCTGCACCCCAATGGCGAGTGAAGAAACCGAACCTCCTTTTAGCACGGTTGGCTACGTACGATGTGAAAGAAATTCAACTTACATGTACGTGGAAGAAGATAAATACACCCCCCCCCTCCTATACCCGTCCCTCCACGTGGGAGAGAAAATGGCAGCATGGTTACGTCTCTTCAAACATCTGGAGGCAACACAGGTCGCCCTTGCTCTTAAAGAGAGGCAATGGTGGCACAAAGGAGAGCGGCCGATGTGCGGTGCGCCATGTAGACCGTTTAACATGTACACGGTGACGGCGTTGTGTAATACGTAGTGGTAATGTCCTGTTGCCTTGTATGTTGTGGGTACAGTGTACGATATTGCATTTGGTTCTTTCGGTAAAGTCACGTAGAAGGGAAATAATAAAAATTTAACATAATAAAATGAAATTCTCACGACGTTTCGGCCACAACGCAAGCAGCCGTCCTCCAGTGAAGAAACAGAGCTGTCGGAAAGACAGCGTCTTAATGACCACTGCTAAGCTTGGCAGCATATTTTAAGCTGGGTGGGAGGAGGAGAGAGCATTGACAAAGGAGTTTACATATCAACAGAGGAATTTAGCATATTGATGACAAATGCAGATATGGGGTTAGTCACTCCTTGTGGAATGTGTAGGCGGTGGGGGGTTTCTAAGTCATTATGCTCGTGTATTATGTAGGATTAGCAGTAATAAAGGGAGGGAAATTTTAATAATAAATAACTGCAGCAGTCAAACCACCGCGTATCAAGCTAGTGCATTATGTGAAAAACGAAAAAGGAGTTTCTAAAGAACTACAAATTCCTACCATACAATAAACCGATGTGAAAAAACTAAATATAAACTACATCAATATAATCAATGTACTCAATATACTCTCCAATAAGCTGAACTATTAACATTAAGTAACTGGGTATACACTACACTATTGAGTACATTGATTATATTCATGTAGTTTATATTTAGTTTTTTCACATCGGTTTATTGTATGGTAGTAGGGTATTTGTAGTTCTTTAGAAACTCCTTTTCTGTTTTCCACATGATGCACTAGCTTGATACGCAGTAGTTTGGCTGCTGCAGTTCTTTATTATTAAAATTTCCCTCCCTTTATTACTGCTAATCCTACATAATACACTACTAGCATAATATGACTTTGAGACCCCCCCACCGCCTACACATTCCACAAGGAGTGACTAACCCCATATCTGCATTTGTCATCAATATGCTAAATTTCTCCATTTATATGTAAACTCCTTTGTCAAGCCTCTCTCCTCCCACCCAGCTTAAAATACGCTGCCAAGCTTAGCAGTGTTCATTAAGACGCTGTCTTTCTGACAGCTCTGTTTCTTCACCGGAGGACGGCTGCTTGCGTTGTGGCCGAAACGTCGTGAGAATTTCATTTTATTATGTTTTATTCTTTTATTATTTCCCTTCTACGTGACTTTACCGAAAGAACCAATAATATGAATCCCTGCAGTCACGAAAGCTTTAAATGGAAAGGTATTGCATGTATGCTTAAGTGTTTGCCATGCTGTGTACGCAGCATTCATTGTGAAACATCCCGCACCTCCGATTAACACGGTTGGCTACGTACGGTGCGAAAAAAAGTTGGACACGCATACATGCATAGCGAGTATTGTTGGCGTAATACGCCATCACCACTACCGACCTGGTGTAGCGCCAGCCATGGGTCAAGAGGGGGCAACAGCGAGTCCGGCCTGCATGAAGTAACGCCGTTAGGCCAGGGAACCCAGAGGGTGGTTGGGAACCGGAGGTACACACCCCCAGTGGGGGCTGGGGGATTACGCAATAATCCAGGTACCTCCAGAAGGTTCTAGAGAGTAGGTGTGGCCAGGGGCGGAGTGATCCTGGGCACCGTAAATAAGTCGGACCTCTGAATGGGTTTTCCAGTTGTCGTCAAGCAGAAGACCAAAGAGCCAGCCCAGAATAGAACCCTGGGAACCCCCGGACCCGAAGTCCTTGTCAGGGCCGGGACCGAGTGGGCCAGTGGTCGGGACCCGAGGACCTTGGCTAGGTCGGGTCAGGCTAACCTCCCCTGGGTTCCCCCGAGCCGGAGGGCTGTGATATAGAGAGTGATTAGGGCATGTTAGCCCGGAGGCTATACCTCCTGTTGTATATGAGCCTTTTTCCAAAATTCATACTAAGAATAATTCGGCCAATATATATATTTTTTAATAATATATAATGAAACCAAAACATTTAACCCCGCAGCGCACTCTCAAGCACCAAGCATCTGGAGGTCGTAAAATGTCATTAAATAATAAACTCGGGGCAAAGGAAGTGGCTCTCACAAAGGGTTTTATTGCAGTTTGGCATCTGTTTTCCGGATGAAAAGATGGCTCGAGGAAGCAAATTATCACCCCCAATAAACTAGAACAAACACACACACGGACACACATACCACTCCCCCCTCCCCAACAGCAAAGCGACATCAAAGGAAATTCGGGTCCTTTGTGAGAAGACGCGCGAAGAGGGGAGGGAATTTCACGTTTTTTGTTGTTTAAGCCCGAACACAGAGGGTGCACTCTCAGTATCCTCGCGACGGAGGCTTGTGAGGGAGGCTTGCGAGGAAGCAGGCACCGACATCAACCATGGGTGTTGTGGCTCGCAGAGAGAAGGGGCGATGCGTTGTTAAGAGCCGAATTCGGCATGAGCCGACAGAGTATCGCTGAAAGTTTTATTCTAAATTTATCCTGATGTGTTGAGTCGCTTGCAAAGTCAAGGATTGCGACAAGTTGTATTGTACTAAGCTTTCCGCAGTTGTTTAAGAGGTGTGCGAATATAATTCACAAATTTTGAGAGTGCCAGCGAACAAGCAGCGCCAGCGAGAGCACCGTGGGCTCGACCACACACACCACCAACACAGAAGCCTTGAGAGAGAATAAACTTGCCAGCAGAAGAAGACTCCAGCAACAGGAGAAGGGCCAGCAACCAACCAGGATGGCGAGCCTCGCCGAGTAGCGATGTGCTACCCAGTGTGAATTCAGCGCTGACTGAAGTATCGCTCGAAAGCCATTCTGCCCTGAGTGCCCGCTCCCACGAGCCACTGCAGTTCGAGTTGAGCTGACGAGAATTCCAGCAATCATCCTCGAGAAAGGGCGGAAAGCGCCAAACATCGACCAAGCCAGCATCACAGCGCCAGCCGCGCCATCGAACAAGGGGTCAGCTGCCAGCGGACGAGCGACAAGAGCGACCAAGCATCTTCAAGGACAAGCATCGTGCCGACGCAGCTCATTCAGCTGCGGAGAGAGAAGGCAGCTAACAGCAAACACAACCCAAGCGAGAGAGAGGGCTCTCCGAAGCCGTTCGTATGACACGCCCGCATTCACACGCCAACACGCATCACCGGCATCTGCCTGACGCAAAGAATTGATACGTAATCAACCAGGCTATGCGTTAATTGTGTGTTGCGAGGTTATTTAATTTTAGTGTGCCTTTCTCCTAATTTGCAAGCTTGCGTGCCGTGCCACGTCGTCATCTTACTAGAGTAGCAGCAGCACTTTGCCACTCATTGATATGCTAATTTTCTCTGCCCCCTCCCTCTCTCCGTCCCTGCCCCCCTCTCTATATTTAAGGGACCGTCACAGAAACGACCCCTCTCTTTGTGCCGATATGTGTCCTCTCTCTGTGTGTCCGTGTGATGTCTGTCTGCTTGTATGTCTGTCTATAGTTTTCTAGTTAGATTTTTTGTTGCTATTTCTTTTTTTGCCTGATGATGATTGCTTGTGTTGCAATCGAAACGTCGTAATATGCTTTTATTTTAATTTATTATTTTATCTTTAGACGTGACTTAACCGAAAGAACCAAAGAATAATTCCTGCAGTCACGAAAGCTCCATAATTAATTTTGAAACCTTTGTTACGAATCTACACGCTCACAGAGAGAATATTGTGTTAAACCTTTTGTTGGATCACAGAATCTTGCCCACGAATTAATTGAGGCTTAGCCAAAAGATAAGCATCTGCGTCAGCAGACACACACCGCCGCACACCATCGTCCCAAGAAATTTTGTTAATTATATAATCTTGCCGATGAATCAATTGACGTAAACTTTTGCCTTCGGGATATAATAATTAGCTTTTTATTGCCTTTCGTATGAATATCGTCGCATGCATGTTTTAAGGACTTTCCCTATCGCCGTATATGCTCGCGTTACTCGGTGGAATTAATAAATTGTTCGGTTGCCCAGTTTAACAATGCAATCATTGATGGTTAAATGTACGGATCAATGAGGGATATTTCCCCGGTGATACTGTGGATAATTCCAAGCATGAGAGTTCGCATATTAGAGTGTTATGTTTTTGTTTAGAATAAAAATTGCTTAAAAAGTCTGAGTGGTTCCTTCCGGAGTTCATGCATAATAATCTTATTTATAAGAACTGTATCCTGCATTGAGATTTGAATTTGTAGACCTGACATAATCACACTAAGACATAATCAGTAAATGTTAAAGCAACTCATTGTATTGTCCCGATTGATAATACGACCCTAGACAACGAAGCAAAGCCTAATTATCATAACTACCCACATTAGCATAATCGCAAACAATCACATAAATTAATAAGATTAGCTTTCAAAACCCGACATATACAACACTCCCCAGGGTATCGGGTGAAGGGGGCCATTGCCCCCTTGTGTTAGGGACCTTGTATTCCCGTTATTATTGTTATAAATAAACGTGTTGCCTTCAGAGAAGACCGAGTCTCCATCTGTATCCAATACACATGCATACAAAATTGACACATTATGCTGTAGGTACAGTGGCTGGCATGCATCGTGTATTTTGAAGTGTTGGTATATATCGTTTGTACAGATGACGTTTCGTTTGCATTGCGTATATTGCCCACAGTATCTACCATGTGGCTTTAGAATAAGTGCCATTATGAACACAGTCTCATCCGCCCCATTCAACCTGCCCCAAGTCAGATGGCAACAAAGGAAGCAGCTGTGCTGGAGTCCAAAATCCTCGATATTTGCGTAGGGGCTTAAAACATTACGGCTATGTCATTCAAGTTGGTTAATGGAGTGAAACCCTCCCACGCCGTGGCACCCGTAGGGTTTCCAGGATGAAGCAGTAACACGGCACTTGGTGCAAGATCATACAAGCAATGCGCAAATTCAACAACCATGAAAAGAACCAGGGTCGCGTTGACATTGCAAAGTTAATGAACCCCATCGAACCCATGATCAACTAGTTGACCACGTAACTCACATATTTCTCAGGAAACAGGTCTGTTTTGAAAACTGTACAATCGACTGCAATAAAACTGTGCAATCGACTGCAAGATCAGTACCAGCTCTCGGTACAAATCAATTCGTAAATATCGGTAACCATGTGAACATTGACGCCAATTCCTCTGCTGTCCGGGTCAAACCTGGAGAGGTGGGGACCCTAGCAGAGCTGTCTGACAAGGGCCTAACCATCACCTACGCGGTGCAGCAGACAAGACCGTCTTGTGCACAGATCTGTCCCTCCACATAAAACATACAAGTATTTATTTGCACATACAATCGGTATTATTATGATGCACTTACAACTGGTAGTGGATCATTTCAGCAGTATTGGTCCAACACAAGAAAACTCTGAACAGTTTTCAACATCGTCTCGTAACAGCAGAGTCCCAGCTTATTTTGACCAATGTTGGTGAATTGCCAAATTTTAAGGCAAGGACCCCCTCTCTGTTAAATATTGGGTCTTAGCTTGACGCAAAACTAAATACACAACACAAAATAATCAATGGCTAACAAATATTTTTACTCTGTGGGTCTCTGTGCGAGTCTACGGATCTGTGCGCAATTCCAACGATTGCATAATATATTCTCCAATAACAACAGAATACGTGTCTTGTGGTCTCGACGACAACATCAAACAGAAGAAGCGAGCTCGAGGACACGACAATTACATTCACCTGGACGCAGTGCCGAATGCCGTTGTGAGGGGGGTGATGATGCCCAGGAGGAAGCGGTACGGGTTCTGCCTCGTGCACACAAAGTAGATGAGAGGTAGGATGATGCCGCCATGCATGGCATGTCCCAGAATGCAGCACAGGATGTACTTCCCCAGGCTGGTGATGAGCTGCACCAAATCGTCCATCTCCACAATCTTGCTGGCCACCAGAAACATGATACCTAGGGGCGCATACCTGAGGGGAAGGGAACACAGGACATAATTATTAGTGCGGTTCAGCAACCGACTAGGCGGCTCAGCGGTGGAGCAAGCGGTTCGCCAGCCCGAAGTGTTGAAAGTTCAAACCCTGGTTGGGGGTTGACAGCCCATCATCCTTCCAGGGTAGAAACAATACAACTTTTTTATGGAAGTCAACAGTCCTATGGACAGACTCATACCCTCCTTGTAGATGAGTAATTTTCACCACTGGCCCAGGGCTATCATCAGCAGTGCTTGCGAAGTAGACAGCAGAATGGTTTGTTTATTCTACCCCCCATAGTCATTTTGCTCAAGCGGCAGGCCCTTGGCGGCCATCTTCCCCATCCTTCTCCGTTTCTGCAGTCTTCTTCATTCTCACAAACGCCACTTCTTTCAGCTCCCCCAACATCCCAACCCTTGGTTTTTCTCTCGAACTTTTCCATCTATAACCTCCATCTTCATCAAACTGTGCCCTCCTAGCATGGGATCAATCCAGTTCTGCCCTTTCCTTCGAATGACTTCCATTAGCGTTATTATTTCATTGATGCCATTCAAGATTACTTTCTTGATCTTCTCGGTCCAGCTCACTCCAATTCCTTCTCCACACTATTCTAACCGTCTCAGTTGGCTCTTTCTCAAGGTCCACATTTCCACTCCATTTAAAATGGAATCTTTGTATGGATAAGAAACTAGTGGTTTATTTAATGCAAAACTATGTTTTGTGTTGGATCAAAGCCTTGGCTGATTGACAGAACAAGTTCACCGCACTTTACAAGGCAGTGTGAAGATAAGTATCGGTGTTATTAAGGTCAGTCCCTGATTTATCGCATGCCATGAAACTTCAATAGCTTGCAAGGTATAACTATTTTTCAGAAGCGACCTGGCCATAAATGATAGCTCAAGAAAGTGGCTTATCATGTGGAAATTTATAGCAGCCAAATACTCTAAAAGCATGTTTCTAAATGTGGAGGGAAAAACCGGAGGACCCTGAGAAAAATCCACGTGACCACGGGGAGAACATGCAGGCGTCAGGGTCGGAATCAAACCCACGACCTCCTGTATACCTGACAAAGTAGTTAACACCTCGTCACCGTTTGCACCCTTAAATAATGCACAATACCTATTTGATGCACGATATGTGCCGAATACACACAGGCAGAGCGAAGGACACACACATACCACATGATCCAGGACACCAGTACCATCGTGGCCTCGTTGAAGCTGTTAAAGAACACGATCAGAGCTTCTCCCTCAGGGCCCAATTTGCGCAGAGCGATTCCAAAGCAAATAGCGAACATCACGAGACCCAAGATGTTCATTCCATCAGCATCAGAACCCACGGGCACCTGCAAATAACAAAAAGACAACGATCAACACTGAACAGTTGTCTTCAGTAACTAGCTTCGCATAAAACGAGTGGGAAAAAAAAACACAATTACAGTGAGCAACTTAAAGATAACATCACGGAAATTACTCCAAGAGGACAATACAGTAAGAAAACTTCCGTAACTTCTTTGTCAGAGACTGCGAGCAGCTGCTCTAGTTTCCTGCATTATTCTTGACTTAAAGCTTTCGTGACTGCAGGAATTCATACTCTTTGGGTCTTTCGGTAACTCTTTGGGTCTTTTGGAAAAGACCCAAAGAGTATGAATTGCTGCATTATTAACTTCCAAACGTTCACAATAGCTAATTAGTAGCTCGTTGGCCAGATAGCTGTGGTAGAGCAAACCTTCTGGTTCTTTCACACAAATGAACTAGTCAGTCTATCTGACGACATCCATCTCACTGCATCTTTAAACTTGACTAAATCTCCATCCAAAAACATTACCATTCGGCTTCAATTAAAATCCAGCCTGGTTTCCAAATTCAGTGTTTGGCACAAAACTTAGAGCTAATGGCACCCACAAATATAATTTGAAATAGTTCCATTACAGTTAAGTTAAAAGTCAATGTTTATGAGAACTAGATGTGCTTTAGTATAACTGCTGAAGACACTGTGGAACTATGTCACTCACCTTTTCTTGTTTGATTATTTCCATCGTTCCATTATCGGTGGTCAAATTAATCTTAATGAACACCGTCTCGTATTTTGTTGCGTACTGAAAAAATATTAAACATCGCAAACTTAGAGCTAATGGCATACATCGAAAGCAACAGTCATTTATAATACGTCATCTCCCATATAATTGGATGTTATTTTACAACTTGGTGATAAAATTGTTAAGTCGTCATGTCCTGTAAACTAGGACAAATGGCACAGTTATGTATGTACATAGTCAACCGTGATAATCGGAGGTTCATGAGAATATTCCACAGAAAAAGTCTTGTTTTGCAAAATTCTTACCGACTGGAATGCTGCAGAGACCAGATTTGCAGGAAATATGTTTCTGTTGAAAGAAAAACCAAACGGTGACGATCATGGAAAACAAAGATTAAGACTGCAACTGTGAACCACGTCGAGTCATATGCGAGCGAGTGACGTAAAAGTATGAGGCTCGAGAAGAGAAAAAGAGTTGAAAACATTGCAAAAACGTTGCCCCCCCCCCCCCCCCCACAAAAAATGTAACGACAAAACATTTTAAACGTATTGACTTCGGACTGGCAAGTTTTCACGTTGTTTTGAAAGGTGAGCAAACCATAATTTTCAAAGTATCAACCATTGTTATTACAAAGGGACAGTTAAGATGATTGTAATTATGGAGAAGGATTCTTAATCTCTCCATGAACCAGATAAAGTTTTAAAGTTCATCTGAGAGAGTTTCCCAGCTAACACTGGCACTGTGGCTTGACTTGTATTTTCCAAGTATCCAGTTGATGTTCTGATGCGGTTGACAGTTACACCACCGGTGTCTTCGAACAATGTCAAAGCCAGCCGATGCCATGTTTGGGTCTCAAGGAGGTGTTTATTCTGGGAAGTCTGCGTTCTTCAACTCTGTTCGCCAACGTTCTTCCAGATCTAGGCGAGATTTTTTTGGACAGTGAAACAGCAGCACGATCCCAGAAGGGGGATCTGGACTAGTCAGCGACGAGGTACATTGTTGAGGTCTTGATTGATGGCTAGGTGGTTGCCATAGGCAAGAAAACGTGGAAGATCCCTTGCAGTTTGCGTAACGTCTCTGCGAATATTTGCTGGCAGAATGTTCACCAGTCACTTCCAGTGTTTTGGTTGGTATGTACATCGCATTATTCCATTGCGCATCTAGCAGTTTTGTCTACAACTTCCCCGACCAGGCTGGAGTGCAGGGACTGCCACTGAGTAAATCAGTGAGGGGTCGGCAGTTCGCAGCACATCACCTGAGACACCCCTAGGTCGTTCGTGCAAGTTTCTATAGCAGGGCAATTCTTGATTTTTTTTTTTTCACAGATCTGTCTTTTGTGGATCTTGAAAGTCTGTTCATGATAACACAGATATCTGGAAGTGGGGTTATAGTGCAGTGGGCTACCAACAAAAGGGCGCATTAAATGTTGCACCTGTTGAATTATAGCTGAACTCCTGTAAATTTGTAAAAAAAATAACTTTATAGTTCATTGGATTCCTCCAGTATAAATAAACATTCTGATCAGATTCTGATTGTTTAGGTGGACGGATTATATGCCTCCAATAAAGCGAGATCCGCTGCTAGAGTATTGGCAATGTTCGACGTTTGTGGCCTGTGCAGCAAGGCCCATGCCACCTGCATAAATTAACTTGCAAAACGCTGAGCCTAGAGGGAGACCATTGCGGCCGAGCTCACCAGTTGCTGAGCATCTCGTCGAGTAGGGTTCATAAAGTAAACATCTCAAACACTAAAAGAACAAATTCCAAAAATATATATATATAAAATCAAAACAATTGGTCGTGACGTCCAACGCCGAAGGCACACACCACACCCGTAGTTTGCATGGGCGGTGCAGCCATGTCGACAAACACGTTTACACTCCATCGCTGACGCGTTTCAACATTCCAGCACTCACTGACATTTATCTTGTTTCAGTGAGAGGGTCTTCGTCTATAATTGCCAACATTGCTTTGCGCAAGAATGACTACTGACGAGACACTGAAATATCAAAACGGGTCCAGAGTTTGTATTAAATAAATGCTGCTGAAATTACACACTCCCAGATGGCCGCGTGGTTGACGGGGAGTGTAACAATACCTTTATGTTGTATGTGGAGGGGCAGTTTTGTGAAGGAGTTATAGGTTTCTAATGGAGGCCGAGCGATCTACACGTGGCAGCACTTTTTGGTATGGATTCCAGCTGAAGCAGTCACTTCCTGTAGGCCACTGCAAGTCGCCCAGGTCACACGAGACCGTGGTTTAAGGCAATAATAAAAGACTAACGCTCCTTGTGTAAGATCCTGCTTCCTGCACAACCACTCGCTATGGTGCGATTCCCATGTTTCAAAGAGAGACTTCATTGTCTCGCGTGTTTGCATTTTCTAAATGTGGTTTTGATTGCCGTCAATATTAAGACTAATTAATGGGAAATTAAGGGTGACTGTGCATACTGTTGTATATATAGGCCTTTTTTCAAAAAATAATATTAAGAATAATTCGGCCAATATATATTTTTTTCTTAAATAATAAATAAGTAAACCCAACACTCTCAATCTGCTACCCCTCACAAACCGCACCAAGCATCTGGAGGTCGTAAAAGGCCATTAATATACTCCCGGGGCAAAGAGGGGTTAACGACGATCTGCGAAATCTCTAGGTTGTCAGACGACCATATGCCATGACCTCCCTAAACGTTTTGGACAGTTCACAAACAAATCTCCAGAGCCACAAATGGACATGATAACTGGAATATTTTTTTTAATATGGTAAAAGTTCGAAGCTTGATGAGAAGAATAAGTCGATATTATAGACTGCAGTCTACATTCGTGGCTGTATTATCAATTCCCTTATTTTACTCTTATTCACCGCATATATATACATTTTGTATCTTTCTATCTACGTGACTTTACCAAATGAACCAAAGTACATGAGCTCCTGCAATCACGAATACTTCAGTCTAAACTAAAGCTATCTCTCCAACCTCCAGATATCAAAATATAACTCGAGAATAAACACACCGACAAGCATCAGCTGGGAACCAATGCAAGAGTGAGGAGCGGCGACCAGCAGACGAGCTGCACGTGCTATCTGACGACGGAATCGTCGTGCCGACTCGTCATCCAGCAGCAGACAAACAGCTGCAGACGACGCTCTGAGCGAGACAGGGAGCAACGAAGCCGTTTGTATGATACGCCCAACCTCACACACTCACCGCTCTGCAGGGAACAAACTAAATTTTGGTAGAAGGAATGCCCAACCTCGGCATCTGCTTTACGCAGATAATTGATCAATGAAGACACACACACAACACGCATATCGGGACGAATAAGATTGTTCCAAAAATTCACTTTGTGTTTCAAGAAGGGTTGCCATTCCAAGGTGGTGCGTTAAATATCAACTGATCGTGAAAAGAATTGCTGCCGTCGAGTTACATGAATACGATTGTTAGAAGTATTTTAGTCATTCGTTTCGTTAATTGCATAATCTTGCCAATGAATTAATTGATAACTACTTTTGCCTTCGGGATATGTTTCTCTATTGCCGTTCGTATGAATATCGTCGCATGCATGTTTAAGGACTTTTTCCTATCGCCGTATATGCTAGCGTTACTTCGAGGAATTAATAGATTGTTCTGATTACCCAGTTTGACAACATAATCATTGAGGGTTAAATGTACGGATCAATGAGGAGAACATCTCCAGGGAGTACTGTGTTAACAATTCCAAGCATAAGAGTTCGCATATTAGAGTGTATGTTTTTGTTTAGAATTAAAGTTGCTTAACACAGAAGTGTCTGAGTAGTGCCTTCCTAAGTACATGCATAATAACCTTAATTATATGAACTGTATCCTGCGGTGAGATTTGAATTTGGAGACCTAACATAAACACACTAAGAAATAATAAGTAAATGTTAAAGCGAGAATAATTGTATTATCCCGATTGATAATACGACCCTAGACAACGAAGCTAAGCATACTTATCATAACTGCATACATTATCATAATTGAATACATTTACATCACTTAATATGATAATTACATTAAATTGCATAATTTCGGATAATTACGCATTTTTCCAATCTTCAATTAATATTTATTATTTTTATTAATTTTCAAGACCCAACATATACAACAATACCTCTCCTGCCATGCCGATCTATTTTAATTACTTTTGATCAAATGTGTCTCAGCTGGTTTAGACTTGACTTGTGGTGCTTCGGCGTGGGAACACAAAATCTGAATATTTATTTAGACTTGAGAAATCCGAAGAGCTAGAAAACTCTTATTTCACAGATGTCCAGTAGGGGTGGGTCAGAAAATTACTACAACAACAACCAATACAAAAACACGATCAGAGTGCAAAGTATAGGAAAGGAAACAAATCACAAAAAATACGTAAAATAGATCAAGTATGGAAGTTAAAACTCCCAAGCTTGAGCAAAGACAGCACAACAGCAAGAAACAGTCCCAGACCACACCAAGACAACACACAGTCCCTTGATAAAATTTCACATTACAATTGAACGACTGAACACGCACACACATCGTTACCGCTTTATTATTTCAATGCTGACATCTCGTTCTGATCGGACTGTTGGAAACATTACCGAATTGTGGTGAAGTGCTTGCATTGTCTTTATATATAGACTACCACCTCGTATACCTAAATTATTGGCTTAAGGTTTTCAAATACTGTATGTAATAGCCGAATAGTATATATCGTGGCTGCACCGGGGGTGCCCTTCAGCTGCTACGACTGTGCTACAGCAATAACAGCAACTCAACGAGTACTACAGCATTAATTACAGCTACTTTAGCAACAGCAATAACTACAGCAGTAATAGAAACAACCGCTTACAGCATAAACAACCACCACCAACGACTGCAACAGCAGCAACGACAACAACTGGCAACTACAGCAACAAAAACAAGTATTACACCAGCAACTAAAACAATAACAGCAACTAACTACGGCACAAACGGGAACAACTACTACAGAAAGCAACCACTACAAAAACAGCAGCAACTACACACAGTTATTGCAGTAGCTACTACCGCAAAACCATTGCCAATTACTGCTGCATAATCTCCAACTAGAGCCAATGAAGCAGTAACTTTAACAACCACTACAGCAGTAACGACCACTATAGCAACTACTCCCACGGAAATAACTACAACTATTAAAAACTATAAACTATTTTTATTTTACTCTATAAGGCCCATTCAACTTTCAGGCTCGTTTTCAGAAGCGACCTGGCCACAAATGATGACCCCAACAAAGTGGTTTATTAAGTGGAAATGTATAGCAGCCAAATACTCTAAACGCATGTTGATTCTAAATGCAGAGGGAA